ACAACTCAGACTTATAGGGAGATGCTCTGCATATGACCTACCCCATGAAGATTGCCCTAGCACATAGGTGACTCTGCCATGTCACAGAACTTCTACAAGCAAGCTTTCTGGAATGTTTGTTGACCACACTGCCCTGCTTCAAGAAGTACTTTCCTGAGAGGTGTTCAATGCTTGTTTTATCCTGCTAGCCTCTGTTATTGTTATTACTGGCCCCACCATCACCATCATGCCCTTTTGCCAGAGTCTCAGTGCTCTTCTGGCCTTGTCCCCTGAGCTGAGAGCAGGTACAAGCTCCCATGATAATGTACAAGGGTACACAAGTGAATTCCCATGTCCTCCTGGTCTCTGTGGTGAGACAGAATGCTTGAGCTTTCTGTACCCAAACCTAGTCTGGGCACAGGCAACTAAGCTACACTCTATTAATCCACCATACACATTGATGGAAAATGAAACATGATTTGTGTACATTCTGGGAGGTGTGAGAGAACGTGGATCATTTAGGACTCACAAGGAGTTCAACAGGGCTGGATCATGGGTACAGCTGGGTGGGTGAGTGATAAGAAAGCAATAAGCAAGGCATGACCAAGCTGGGTTGAGGTAAACTTATTAAGGAGTTTGCATTTCTACTGAGGGAACCTGGCAGCCATTGAAGTTCTTGTTGGACAGAGAGGGAGTAGCAGGATGGGATTCCCATTCTGCACAGGTCATTGTTTTGAATGAACCCAGTGGAGGCCAGCAGGCAAAAATCCAGTGAGGCCTTCTTCATTATCTAGCTTCTGCCATCCAAGATAGCTTACCTGAGACCTTATCCTGAAGGGATGTGTAGGAACCTTGCTTTCACTGGCTGGTTGGAGTGACTCTCACCATTCACAGGCACCCTACTCGGCTTGCCACATAGCATCAGGGGTAAATCTGGGGCTCCTCCTACAAGGACGGTCCTCAAAGGAAACCTTGGAGTATTTCCAAATGCCACCTGGAGAAAGGGGGCAAGAGGACCTGGATAGTGAGGGAGGGCAGTTACTATGGTAGAGGTAGAGCACAAAAAATACCCAGAGTCACAATGATCCCCTGAAATCTTTTCTAGCTACAAGTCAAGAATCTATCCTTCATGTTTGCCAGCCAGCAGGGCAGGTGCATGCAAGTTCTGATAAGGGAATCAAAAGAGGAGGCCACAGTGGAGAGGAGACACAGCGTCAAGTCACCACATTTTCACCTTTTGTCCCCCAAGATGGGACTGAAAATGGTGTAGCAGGAATTTCTGACAATTCTTGATACACAGCTGCCTATGAATTTTCTTTCTGGGCTCAGTGCTCAGTTCTCTTCTTAATTTATATTCATTCCCTTGGTGATCTCTGCAAGTCCCAAGGTCTTGAAAACAAACATAGCTCCCATATGTCTCTCTAGTCTGGACCTCAAAATCTCGAGGGTGTTCAGGGGTATCTTAGACTTAGAATGCCCAAGCCTTGTACCCTCCAAATCTGCTATTCCTTCACTCTTTTTAAGAATGGAAGTGGCAATTCTGTTCTTTCAATTATTTAGACCTCAAATGTAGAAGTCATCCCTGATGCCTTACTCAAACCCCACATCCAATTCATTATCAAGTCTGCCTGGCTTTGCCTTCTGGGTATATCCAAAACTGGTTAATGGATACCCTCTCACTAGAACCAGCTTGCTCCAAGCACACCATTTTGTCTCTTCTGCATTACTGCAACCTAATTCTTACCTTCCTTTCCCTCTTGACCTCCTGTGGTCTGTTATCTACCCAGCAGCCAGAGTGATCATTTTAAAACTCGAGTCATGTCAGATTTATGCTCAAAAATTTCCCTTTGCTTTCCATCTCACTTGAAGAAAAAGGAAAAATTATAACAATAGTCTGAGACTCTATGTGATCTATCTAGCTCATGGATACCTTTGGTTCACCTCTTTCCTCTTTTCCCTCAGCCCCACTCCATCAGTTGCTCTCTGCTCACACAGGTCTTCTTGTTGTCCCTCGAAGTATCATATAAGTCCAAAGTTAACTAGATGCCAAAGGTCACTTCAGGACCTTTGCATTTGCTGTTTCCTTTGCCTGGTTGGATACCTTCCTACAGATATTTGTATGGTTAAATTTCACCATTCTTTTAGGTCAGTGCTGGAATGTCATCTTTTCGGAGATGACTACTGTGCCATATTTCCCTTAATATCTGGATTTGTTGTTATCAATAGCACTTAGTATTCCCTGATATAGCCATGATAGGTTAAATAAAGCCTTGGTAACAAATCCCCAAATCAAGTGACTTATAATGTAAGGGCTAGCCAGTAGGAACTGGGTAAATTTTTAGGAAATTTGTGAGCCAGTTGTTATACACAGCTATTTTTAAAAAGTTTAATTATATAAGCTTATAATTAGCTATGAATAAATTATTTTGCTATTAATATAAGTATTTTATTATATATCACTATGACCTAAGCCCTTGAAGGTATGTTTATCGTGCTTGCCTGGTGGAAATGCTCTATGAAATGTTACTGTGCGTCTCTACCTAACTCCTCATGTGGTGATGCCATATTGAAGTTGGCCATTTCAAGAGTATTTGCACACTGCTGAAATTAGTAAGAGCTACAAATTAGGGATTTATTTTAGTGCTTGTCTATACTTAAAGCGAGGGGGTAAATATTTATGATGAAGATCAAATTTTTTAAAAAGTGTGTCATGTCTGAATCCAATACAATGTGAGTAGCACGAGAAATTGAGACGGTGTTCTAATATTCAAACACTTAGGTTTAAAACTTAAACTGGATTCAACAAGGTCACTTAAGTCATTGATAAGTGAGTGAAGTTATGATGTAGCTCTTCATTATTTCACTTTATCTTATTTGTTTACATAATGAATGTATCAACTAATTCAGGTTGAAGCTGTACTCATTTGTGAATTGGAACCACAGGCTGATTATGGATAATTGACTTCAGCAAAAATGAGCAAATGAACTCTGTATCAATAGAGTATGTGCAATTTCAACAGAGTATTGTGTATTTTATTTGTAAATTGCAAATTTTATGTTAAACACAAACACACATGCATCGCTTCTCCTCCCTTGGAGAGTCTTGTTAAACATTTATCAGCCCATCCCTGGGTTTCTTCACATACACTCCTGTCAGCAGGGGTCTTCTGTTCACATCTCTCACTCTGGGTCCAGGCAATGGCACCACCTGAAACACTGTTGATTGCTGCATTGGTGGGGGAGAGCCATAATAGGCTCTAACTTGAAGTGACACACACTACTGCTCATATTTCATTGACCAAAGTAAGTTACATGGTCATACTTTATAGATGCTCAATTCTTACTGTGTAGATCTGAGAGGAAACTAACATGGTAGGGGGAAGCTCTGCAAGCAAGCCCTCATGGGTCAATGGAGGGGGTCATCTTCTCATGTTTTGTCCAATTCTTGATAAGCAGCGTAGTTTTGTACATCCACCTCTGCCAATCATATGTAGCTGGAAGTCTGTGACAAAGGAAATCTCATGGATACACGTGGCCCTGTGTCATTAGAACAGGTAAGTGAGGCAGGCATCTAGGACATAAAATGTGGGCATCACCCTCAGGATCCTGCAAGTGCAAAGTCATCCCTGAGACTGGGCACTGGCTTATATTTGTGCCTTAGGACCTTCACTTGGCCCACCCTAATCCTGGCTCTACAGCCAGGTCTCTTCTGGACTCTGCGATTCCATAGCTTAATGGATAGTTGCTTCTTCCAGACATGGTCAGACAGCGGTAAATGCAAGAGAATTCTAAGCAGGGGCAAAGTTCTCACTCTGTATAGCACAGAGACTTTAACAAACTCTGGGGGCTGAATTATGGCTCTACATTCTGATAGGCAGAGCAAAGCAATAGGAGAGACACTACTTACTCTAGAGCAGCCTCTTGCATCTGTCTCACTGTTGTGAATTTGAAGCTCAGGTGTTGATTATGAGCACTGGGCTTGGTGGCATCAGGTGCCAGGGATGCCAATAGCATTAACTCCCATTTAGTGGGTCCCTACTATGAACCAAGAAAGTACTACTCTAGGGTTTCATGTATATTGTCTTGCTTATCCAGTACCTAACTCTGCTAGGTACTATCTGTTTAAAGAGGAAACTGAAAAAAAAAAAAAAAAAAGGAAACTGACTCTTGAGGAAGATTAAAAAACTTTTCCAAGGTCAATCAGGAAGTGGTAGAAACATAATTTGAATGAAATAATTCTGAATCTGATGTCTAGTCCCTCTAAACCAGGGCTCCTTTAGCAACCTGTGAGGAAAACAAAATAGAAACTCCTATTCAGGCCACATGAACTGAAGACACTGGAGTTTAACTGACCTTGCTCACAAGGTCAAGATCAAAACCAAAAGCCCAAAACACATTTGATTCATATAACATTTTCTCACTGAATGGAAAGAAATCCCAGTTTGACCATATCTGCTTTTTTTTTCTTTCAATTTTTATTGAACACAAGTATTCTGACAGAATGCAAAGTCAAAATTCTCAGTTAGTACTCAGTATTTACACCAGTGAGAATGCAAACAAAGGTGGTGTCGATGTTTCACTTGGTAAAAAGTTTTATAACAAGAGAGAAGGCCCCCGAAGTACAGAATGCTGGGTAGGGATGTTAATGGAGGTGTGAAAACCACCGTCCAGACAGACAGCCTAGGGTGAAACCCTGGGACATGAGAGGTTCCATAGAAAAGTGTGAAAATAGGGTTCCACTTCAAAGCTGCACTATATACACAGTGGCCCATCAGGACTGGGAGACTCTGCTCATGGCACCTGAGTGGTCCTCTCGCAGAACTTGGCCTTGCCTTTCTTTATGTGAATACATATGTATGGCACATACACATATAAACACACCAACAATGAAACTAATGGAGTTGGTTCCTCCTTCAAAAAAAGAAAAATTATAAGCCTTTATCTCTTAACATAAAAGATAGAACATCTTGAAAATAATGCGACTCCCTCTTTGATTTTAGAGAAAGTTTTGCTTTTAAAAGAAGAAAAAAAGAAAGCTCATGCATGCTGAGACGAACATATGTGTAACATGAAAAGGCAGACCTAAGTGTGGGCAGACTTGGGTTGCAGCTAATGGTGGGACCAGGGTTCTAAGGGGTCAGCTGCCCTGGGCCAGGTTATCTGAGGGCTGGCAATACGTCCGTTTCTTCCTAATCATCGGAACCAAAATCACTTTGCCTAAGCACAACCAGTAGAGTGAAACGCAGTTTCCAGGAGCCACAGCCTGGCCTTGGCCTGGCAGGTCAAGCCACTGACATCACAATATGAGGACCTGATCCTATTGGTCTGTCCCTCACCACCGGGCCTTCCCTACCTCAGGTGCCCAACTCTTCCATTCTGCTGGGTGCTCTAGGAGCTGTCTTCACCTTCCTTCCTGAGGGCCTGTGCATTTGAACTATAGATCTGTGCAGGCCCTAGAGTCACAGGGGCCAGGGCTGTGTATTCTGGAATCCTCCATTTCCATCCCCAGGAGCTGATAAAATGCAAAATAACCCCACATTTAGCAAATGACAAGACCATTATTTTTCACAGTTTGAAATTATAATCTAGCATTGCCATTGACCAGACTGCAGACGTGTCAGAACATTGAGGAGTGCGGCCCACGGAGTGGATACAGAGGCCGTCTTGCCACCCTAACCTCTTGCTGCTTTGCACCTTAGGAAAGGAACACGCGCCAGAGGACAGAATTGCTATTGACCTAACTGTCCTCTTCATCATCTGTTTTTCATTTTCTTTGTTTAAAGGCTTCGATTCCTTTTAAGATTTATTTTTGCTTCCTGAATATTTTTCTGAACTATCTGCTATACCTTCCACAACCAAACTATGTTGAAGCTTTATTTCAATACTATGACAAAAACACGTTTCACACTAAAATATTCACGCATCCACAGTGCACAAGCTTGCAGTTCTAAAGTAGAATGAGAAACAAAAGCAAAATTTCTATACAAAGGGCTGGCTTTTCCCTTCTCCCCCCTCCCATCCCCCTTAAAGTTTCTGTATTTTCTCCCCCCACTTGGTTTCAAATCCAGGAAAGTTGTGTTATGACTCCAGACAGTAAATTTGTTTTTCTTTGTTTTTTACAAATGCTGCCTAAGTGAACAGAAGACTGGTGTTACTTTACTTCAATAGATTTCCAAAAAAAGACACTAATTCCCTGAAGCACACATGCTCTTCCACTCAAATCTAGATTCTGGGCTCAAAAGGAAATGGTCTGTATATATATTATTTGGCTTTCTACAAAAAGGGGATGTTTGGGGTAAAAATGTGTGTTCACCAAGACCAGCCCCAACTATACAATCTTCTCTGCTTCATTCAACAAAGCCTAAGGAGTCCTTCAGAAGGAAGGGCATTGGACACCTGGGAGGCAGTTCCTTTGTCACAGACACAGGCAGGTGGCAGCTTATCAAAAAGTGGTCTAACCCCCAAAGAAACACCAAAGGAACTGAAAACCAAAAGGCAAAACTATTCTATAATGAGACAGATTTTTCACCTGAATTAGACACAGGCAAAAACTTCAAATCAGAGCAGGGGAAAGAGCCATCAGAAATAATCACCTTTTGTAACAGTGCCCCAAGCTAAAGCAAGCCTGTGATGTTCCTACCTGCCTCTAGGCGGTATTTGTTGCTTAGAAAAAAAAAAAAAAGGCAGTATTTTACATGGACATTTAAACACAACTGAAGTCAAACATTTGTCAACTTGTAAACACTGGAAAACAAAGTTGGCAGAAAAGAAGAATAAGAAAAAGGAAAAAAGCAAGGAAAGAAAAAGGAAGCAAAAGAAATCTGAATACTGCAAATTGACATCTACCCCCAGAAGCTGCAATTTTGCATTCTTCCTACAAAACAAGAGTCTATGTGGGAACTGAATTCAGCTAGAAAGGGTGACACACTTTGCGTACTGAACAAATACAAAGTGAACAGAAATTATAACTTATTTATGAGGTTTTACAGAGTTCCAACTTGACTGAAAGTATAAAAATAAAGTGTGGACTTTGTTCATTCGGTTAGTCTTAGTGCCTGGAAGTATTTCTCTGAAACTGGTCTGTGCCAATTGGGTAACACCAAGTGTGGTTTTCCTGAACCTAGATCTTTTTTTAAATTCTTTTTCTGAGCTTCCTAGATTTTTAATTTGGGGTCCTTTTGTTTGACTTTTAAATGGTTTCAGGGAACGGAGTGTCCTAGTTTGGCTGTGGATTTAACCTTTTTGTCTCATTTTCTTACAAGTGAATGCGCAACAAAGGAGCCCTTTCTATAAACCTACAAAAAGGAGGTCCTATGTTTATCTGTTTAGTTTTTTTTAAAGGCAAAAGACACTAGAGGAATGAGATCGTGTGTGTGTGTGTGTGTGTGTGTGTGTGTGTGTGTGTGTGTGTATTGGAGATGGTCTGGTGAAGCTGCTGTGTCACTATTTTCATCTTTGCTTGGCTCTCATCAGGCTTTGCTGTCATTCTCCTTTGTTTGTGTGGCATCATTGGGGACCGTCTTGACTTCAGCTGGCGCTGGCTTTGCTTCTGACTCCTGGCACTCCGACTTTGCTTCTACAGGGCCTTTCCTGCAAGGAAGAATCAAGAAAACAGCCCCGCTGAGACAGTTGCAGATCTGTAGACATCTCCCCCCTTCTGCCAGGCCCTCAGGGGCTCCAGTCACAGCTCTCATCTCCAGCCTTGGATGCACACTGGCATCACCTGGAAGCACTGCAAACCAGACTCCTGAGCCGTGTTCCCAGAAATCCTGGACACGGTGACCTTTCAAAGCACCAAGGTAATTCTAACATGCAGGCTAAGTTGAAAAGCACTGAGTCAGAAGAATGAGTCTTTCCAGCTCCAGCCTCCTGTGATGCCAGGAGCTCTGTTTTAACCTGGGGAAGGGAAAGGGGGTTGTAGGGGCAGCTGCTTCCTCCCCTTGACATGCAGCATAGCAGCACAGCAACTCAGCTTGCTGTACGGAGAGTGTGTTTGTTTGTCCATCCCCTGTGCACCCCATGCTGTGTCTCAGGAGGGTGCCTCTATGTGGCCTGCAGAGGGTAAGACAATACTGTCACCACAGTGGTGGGATGCTACAGTGGGCCTGCTTGTTACTGGGGACTGGAGCAAGCAAGGCTATCAAAAATACTCTCACTTTCTGACACTGAAATTCAAGCTCATGTAGAGTGCTGGCAGTGCTTGGTGACGGCATGACAGTTTATCTGGGGGCAGTCACAGAAACTTCCATAAAAATCCACATCTGCCTCTGCCTCCAAGGGTCCCAAGAGTGAGTCAGGCTGAAGGACGCCCTGGAGCAGGTGCAGATCAAAATGCCACTGCATTTTGGCAGCACGCTTAAGAAATCTGACAGGTTGAGGACTTGAACTTAGAAAACCAACAGGCATTTGGTCTAGTCTTCGCAGGTGCTAAACACAACAGAAGCAAGAGCAGGTGGGAGAAGAGTGGGCATCTCAGCGAGGGTGTGACAGAGCCTGTGGACCACATCCTCTCTGCATCTTGGGGTCTGCCTCTTTTCTTCCTGCACACTGGTGCCTCTCGGGTTGGGGGTGGAAGTAGGGACTCAGACCGGCCCCGGATAACACACCAATATGGGCCCAGAGTGGCAGATAAGGGCACCTTGGCCTCCTTAGTGCCTTCCTAAGCTGTGTTCATCAGTGGCCTGACTGCAAGTCTCCCCTAGGGAAAACAGAAGCATCGCTAGGATGATAAGGATAAAACATAATTAACATGGCCTAATTAGCAAGCCGGTGGCTGTTCTGCTCACTGGGGCCCTGCTGCCTGCCCCTGCCTCTGCCTTTTCCCAGCCCCCTGTTTGACAGTTGCCTCAGAGAAGCCCTGGGTGAAGCTAGGACACATCTAACAAGGAGGACACAGCACAGCACAAACGCACACCACCACAGGACACAACCCGACGACAGCAGACAAAGAGAGGCCGTACTCGGTCTTTGCTGGTGCTGGTGGCACAGAGGTGTCTGCAGTGGAAGGTTCAAGCTCAGGGGCTTGTCCACTGGCCCCAGCGGCGGGAGCAGGAGAGCCCAGGGCTGCAAAAACATCCTTTGCAAGGTCAATATCTGGGGTCTTGAAGTTCCCTTCGTCCATTTTAAAGTCCTCGCCCTGGGAAGGGTTTGTGGCGCTGACGGAGGCAGCCTCGCTCTTCGGGCTAGTAGAGGCTGTGGCTGCCTCGGGTGGGTTCTTCGCAGCGCCGGGCTGGGTAGGCTCCGGGTCCGGACCTTTGGTGCTGGGGGTCTCCTGCATGGCCTGAGGGGCTTCTGTGGCAGGGGCAGCCACTGCTGCTAGGGGACTGGCTGCCCCCGCTGGGGCAGGGGCTGGCGCAGGGGCCGGAGCAGGGGCTGGCTTGCTGGTTGGAGGGGCCTTGGAGACCTCCCCGACACTGCCAGGGGTGCTTGGGCTAAGGACAGCTCCTTGATTGGCCAGGACACTAGAGGACAAATTGCTAGCGGCAGGGGCTGAGGTTGGGGTGTCACTCAGGTCAACAAGAGGGGCGACCTTGGGGGCTGAGGCTGGGGACGGGGAGGAGGCAGCAATGCCGGGCCCCTTGGAAGGGGTGATCTGGCCAGTGGGCACAGAATTTGAGTCCAGTGCGGCTGTGGCCGGCTGGGCAATACTGGAGGTCAGGGTGGTGGTCTCACTGGTGGGGCTGTTCTGAGCAGTGGCAAAGGTTTCGGTGATAGTGTCAGAGTTAGTGGTGACGGTGGTGACAGAAGGCAGCATGTCCTCAACAGTGGCTGTGGTGTCAGCAGGCAGCCTGTGGGGAGGACAGGAAGTAGAGAGAATAGACGATGAAGCTAAGACATGACAGAGAAGCCTGCAGGAGGACTGAAGACAAGGACAGGGGATGTAGGTGGGCATGCAGTCACACACAGGCAGGAACACAGGCCCACAAAGAAACAAGCACGCAGAGAGGAAGTACATGCCCAAGTGGGCAGAAGAGGACACAGGAGACAACAAAGAACATGGCAGTCTCAAAGGGACCAGCTAGTGTTCCTCCCTGCTGACATCCCTCCAGCTCTCTCCATGGGCTCCTGTTCCCTATAGACCTGTTTGGGGCTTTCTGATGCCCACCCCGATCTCTACTCCAGGAAAGAAAGCTGCAGTTCAACGTCCACCTGCTCTAGGCTTCCTGGACCCCAGAAGAATTGGGCCCAGCTCCCCTGCAGAGCCCCAGAGTAGGGATGAGACAGTGAGGAACAAGGCAGTGATGAGTGCTCCTAAAGCCATGGATTCTTCCAGACAGATTTTGTGGTCCTGTGAAACTCCAATCCCTTCAAACCTCCAGGATCCTTGATAGTGAGGTAGGCATTATAAACACAGCTGATCAGGGTCTCTGAGGACCCCTGAGACTTCTGAGCAGAGAGGGCCAGAGAACCTTTACCAGGTCCCTAACTTCTCTGGCTCTTTTAGGAAGAATATAGAAAACACCACACTTGTAAGAAACCCTAAACAGAACATGCTAAGCCTCCCTTAATGAGGTTTTGCCTCTTTAAGCCATTTCCAGAATACATGTGTAAATTCGGGTCAGGGTTTAGGAATTCCCACTTCTGTAAAGGTACACATGGCCACCTGAATAGCGTGCTTTCTCTCTAAGGAGGGTGGGATCAGGCATTGGCTAACCAAGTGGGTCTTCTGGCCCAGGATTCCAGAATCCTGGCCTACCATGTTTGGCTAGCCACTAGGGTGGGAAGCAGGAAAGGTGGGGGTAGGGTAAAGAGATGGGTGTGGGGCTCTATTGAGGAGGCACCAGCCCCTCCCAGCCCACGTACTCGGGCTCTGTCAGTGGCGTGGTCTCATTGGGCTCTGTGTGTTTTCCTCCGTCATGGTTTGGGGTTCGCTCCTCTTCAGTTCGAACTTCCACGATGGGTTCCTTGGACTCGTCTTTCCTGTGGAGAGTTCTGCTGGTTAGATCCTGGGGAAGTTTGGGAGAGAGGGGACCCCAGGGAAAGTAGCTACGCTTAGGGTAAGTAGATCTGGCCTGAGGCTAACAGGGGTGGGCATTTAGAACCAGAGATGAGTGTTTGGGCCTCAGCCAGACCCATCCTAGCTGTGTGAATTTGAGTGTCAGATTTAATCACCCCTGCCTCAGTGTCCACATCTGGAAGATGTGGCAAATAAGAGTATGCACCTCATGCAGTTACTCTGAGAATTAAATGAGCTAGTGCACATTAAGTGCTTAGCACAGGGCTTGGTATACATTTTCCTAAACACATATACGCATGTGTCTGTAAGCATGTATATGGAGGTCTGTGTGCATATATGTACATGAGTATACAGGCCCTGGCATGCCATTTTCTCACTCCATCCCTTTTCAGTTAGCTCCCGCTCATTGGGACTGAGTCACAGTCTTCAAAGGTTCCCGCTAATTGGTTCAGGGTCTGTTTCTTCATAGACGCTATTGGAAAGACCATTGGCTCCTCCAGGACAAGAAGTTTTATCTGTTTTGTTCCCTGTTGTACCCTAAAGCACAGCAGCAGTGCTTTGCACTCAGTAGTTGCAGAGTAAATGTTTGATCAGTGATGAATGAATGAATGAAAGTGAGGTTAGTCTGTCTCTCAAATGCTGGCCTCCTCTGTCATAGCTCCTCTCTGGACTCAGCTCTCCCAAGTCCCCTATTTTGACCTTCATAGGGATTTTCCGGGCTTTGGTGAGATTCCGGAACACTGGATGCAGGTAAGTCAAAGAGATCACTTATCAACAAGTAACCCCCACTCTACCTCACCCCACAGCTATGCATGGGAAGACTTTCTGCAGTGTTTCTGCCCCTCAGGGTTTCCACAGGGGCAACAGGAGCTGAGTTAATGGTCATGACAGCACCAGCAGATGACTCTGAGGTGAAAGGGTTGCTGGGCCCTGGGTTGGGGCAAGTCCAGACCTCCATGGGTGGGTGGGTCTGTACTCACGAGAAAGCAGCCTTGCCCTCCTCCATATCCTTGCCCTTAGCTCCAGGCCCAGCTTTTCCACACAGGTTGACGGCGATGCACATCAGCAGGCCACACTTGTTCAGGAAGTAGCAGGTAATGTCCACAACCACGAGGAGCAGGACAAAGATGACAATGAGGATGCCTACGATGGCCCCAGTGCTTAGGCCTGAAGTGGGGCTGCCATTGGCTTAAGGGGGGAAAGAGATGGCTGGTGGTTAACAGACTTGAGATTTGAATCCTCTGACCCTGTGAGCAACCACCCCTGGGGGTGGGGTAGGGCCCATAGCACAAAGCATGGCATGGCATTTATGCCCAGTGACACCTTCCCTGGGTCCTTCCTATGCCCGGTGTGGAGACAACAGGATCTTTACATCTTCCAGAGGGAGAGATGACTGACTCATCTCACTCAGGGAATAGGAGTGTTGGGCTCCCACAAGTCAAAATGAGAGTGGGGACTGGGAGCTGGGTCTCCATCCCTCCCTTCATCTTCTGAACCCATACTCCGCTGGCCTTCCTGAGTTCTGCGAGCAGACTGAGCCCAGATTGTCTGAGGACACTGGATAAAGACAAAGTTGGAGGGCACTGCTGTGTATCCCTTTGAACTTAGGCCTTTGCCTTGCAGGGTAGGCAGGCAGTGTTACTGGGTTCCAGCTGTGCTGGGACTCTGGGAGCACTGAGAGAGAGTCCCAAATGGGGTTTCCAGGGCTTCCTTAGGGCCTTGTAGGGATGTCAGGCCCAAGGAGATATCCAACACACTGTTCTACTTCCTCTTCCCTCTCTGGGAATAACTCGAAAGATGTTCAACATTGGAACACATTGGGCTCACAGTTTACTCCACCCATCTCTGCTACAACCTCAGAAGCCAAATGAAGCCCGCGTGACTCTGGAGACATGCAGGTATCCCCAGGCCTTGTGAATAGGTGAAGGTTCTAGGAATACTCACCGTTTGGGAGCCACACGTGCTCAGATCAGACTTCAGGAAAGCCTGAGACTCACCTTAGCGCTGCACACTCGTACAGTCAGGCAAGCTCACACAAAGGACAAATGCCCACACATACACACATATTCTCACATCCCAGCAGTATCCAGCTCCCCAGTTCTGGCTGAGCTCACTCTGAAAGACTCAGCTTCTATGTCTAGCTCTCTGGTCCAGGGCCCTGGGCTATGGATGCTGACATTGAAGGACCCAGGCTCAGCTTCCTACCTGGCCATGATTGACATTATTTGCCTAGGTTGGACCCACCAATCCCTAGCAGTTCCCACCAGTGTCCGGGAGACAAGTGGCAGCGGTGTGATAATCAAGAAACCACCCAGAGGTCCATCTGTAAGTCAATGTGGAAACAATGACCCCTGACTGAAATACAGGTACTTCCATTTTATTTTTCTTCTGGAAGGTCATGGGTCTAGAATTGCAGTTCCATTCTACCACCAGATCCTTTCTGAAGTTTCCTGAGTTCTCATGGACCACTGAGATCACCCAGCATCTGGGAACTGGAGGCAAGAACTGTGGCTAACGCTACCTGGGGCTTGGCCCCACCTGACTCCACACCCAGTTCAAAATGCTTTGCCAACTCAGCAGTCTGCAATCACACATCATGCCAGATAATCAGAGGAATGTGTAACCTATGGTGACTGACACTAGAGATGGGCCACCATTCTTTTTCTTTGAGATCTTTCTATGTAGCCCAGACTAGCCTTGAACTCACCATCATCCTACCTCAGCCTCCCTAGCACCAGGGTTACAGTTGTGTTTCACCACACCCTGCCATCATTCTTTTCCCATGCTTCCTGTGCTCCTGGGGAGGTGTGCTTTTCTGTTTGTCCCAGGAGTCCTTGCTTAGGCACTATGGAGTTGGACCATTTCAAACTCCAGTTCTGGTTAAGAGCCACGAGCCCAGCCTGCCAGAGAGGACCACTCACAACCTGTTCCTCTGGGAACTCCTCTGGGAGTCTCTTCCTACTCAGTCCTCACAGACTGAGACTCCCTGGCTTGCAAATATTTTGGTCCCTTTGGGACCTTGGCTTGCTTCCCAGTCTTTTCTCTTCAGGCTCTCTGGCTGGTCCCTTCCAACCCTGCACTGAGGCAAAGGACCTTGGGCTTTAGAATCAGGAAAGCAGCTGTTGGCTTTAGCCATAAGCTAGAGTGGGTCATTTTCTCCACTGCCTGCTAATGCAGAGAGCTTCTGGTTGGTTGCTTGAGAACAAAGCCACCCGTCTGCTTCTCTGTGGGCCTCACACTTGCAAAAGCAAAGAAGGAGATCTGGTCTTTAGATGGATCTCAAGCAATTTCCCTCATTAGGGAAGGCATTTTAGCCATTCCAGGACTTTGGCTTAAGGCCCTGCAAACTCCTATATCAGGAGTCAGGTGTGAGTTGCCTACTTTTTGAAGAAGGAGCTGAAGGTAATTTTGTGTGTAACGGGTATATCTATATTTTTGCCCTCAAGGGCACTAATTTTACATTCTGAGTCATATACATAAATATAGTCTTATGTGACTGTTCATATCTTTTAAGAGCAAAGATGAATGAATAGCTTCTCTCTGTGTGAACAAACAGCAGCTGGGCTAGCTTCTGCTCTGGGCTCAGCAGGCTCAGCTAGAGGCCTCATTGGCTTTGGGCAATTTGAGGAGAGGGGAATGAAGGTGAAAAGATTGAATGGTACCATCAACAAACAGTAGGGCAGTTCTCTCCCCTTACATTGCATATATTGGATGCAAAGCCTTTCCAGGCCTAACAGGCCTCTGTCTATCCCTCTCACCCTTGTAACTCAGGGCATGACTCTTGTTATGAGCTCCAGCCTGGTCACCCCGCATGACCTTTTGAACATGCCTACTCTGCTCCAGGGCGTGGCGATGGAGCACTGGCTCCCTCCCTGTTGAGTACATTATGGATGGGTCTTTGCCTTCCTGCTGGCATCAGGCTACATGTTGCCTTGGAAAAGCCTCCCCTGTTGATTTGTTACCTAGTGAGGCACTTCCACTCAATATCTACCATGCTACCATGTTTTATTTTCTTCTTACCACTATCTGCCATGTTCTGTTCATTTACATGCTTACTATCTCTGGTCCTTCCCTCTAGGATACTCTAGCAGGTGCCTAGTCTCTCTTCTGTCTCCCCAGCACCTGCAGTGACCTTGACTCATAGAAAATGTTCACAGAATATTTGTTGCATGATTAAAATGAGTGTTTAGCGTGCTTCCAAGTATTGAAGGTGTTCCAATCAGCCTTATTCTGTACCAGTGGATGTATGGGAGTTGGGGGAAGATTTCAGCTCTGCATGAGAAGGACTAATCAACGGTTATTAGTCAAACAGTATGAGCTGCCTTGATAGGTGAGCTCGCTGGTGCTGGAGGCATTCAAACAAAGATGGTACATCTGCTTGGCAGTGATGTTGCAATGCTCTGGATAAGGTCCTGTATCCACAGGGACATTAGTAAAGGATGTCTGCAAGTCTTCTTCAACCACAAGAGCCTGTCATTTCAAGTAAAGGCTCTACAGTCCCCAGGCACTGTACAAACTCCCTAAGCCAGTCTTCATAATATGTGCAGAGGACTAGTTCCTGGAAGATCAAAAACACTTGGTAGATTCAGCCTTTAATCTTGTGGTTTTATTTTTGTATGAAAACCAAATGCCTTTTAACTCAAAGTGGTAGAATTCCTGGGGGTAGTTTGTTAAAAATTCAAAACCCGGGGTTCCCCAATTCTCTGGAATCAGAATTGCTGGGGGGTGAGGCTCAGGAGTCAATATTTGAACAAGTACCCCAGATGATTCATAGGAAGAACACCTAGGTCTTTCCTCCCCTGCATCACAATGAATCACAGCTGATCCCATGATCCATCATGGAGGAAGAGCTGTGCCTCCTGCCCCTCCACTGATACAATGGACTTGGCCTGAAGTGCTGGACAGATTGAAAGAAGCAAAGACTATTTCCTAAAAGAAAAGAGCCACTCAGCCCACCACTGCTAAGCATGGAGACATCTAGAACAAGTGAGGTGCTCCTCAAGTTGGGGGAAAAATGCTGGCTACATTGACAGAAAGAAGCTGTAAACAAGGGATAGACCACTGCACAGATGAAAGGGTAGCCGAAGTAAACCAACATGCATTCCCTCTTGGAGGATGATGTTATAGATTTTTTTAGTCCAGAAAGTCAGAGGGACAGAAGGTTATCTCCTGCATCTTATGTTACACGTTAAAAAGGAAAAATAAATAAAAAAGCCTTCGGGGCATCTATCTTTGTCATGACCTTCCCTTTGACCTCCCTAACACACCCACATGCCTCACGTGCCAAGAAGACTTCTTGGGAGCAAATCCTCCATAGCCTCTGAGGTCAGAGGTGCCTGGAGCAGGGGGAGTACAAAGCTAGGGATGTCTGTCTTCTGTGGTTCCTGGCTTGGGAAAGGTTCGCATTCAAGTGGGAAATGGCTTGCTCCAAGACTGAGACCTAGTTTCTTACTCCTGCGAGTGGGAAAATGGGTCTCACACTTCATGGATGCCCAGATGGACCTGATTCATTGTGTCATGGGTCAGGGTGAAGAAGTTTCCTCTCTCCCTGTCTCCTAACCCTCATCCAACTTCTGGACTCGCAGAATGGTTGAGCTGGGGGTTTGGTTTGCTTATAAACCCCTTACTTATCTATTTTGCCTTGGCAGAAATGGCTATACAGAATGTTGGTCTCAGGAGCCAACAAGAGGTGTCTAAGTGATTATAATCAGAGTGCAGCTTCCCCAATAGAACCTTCTCTCAGTTTCTATCACAAGATCCCAGTGCAGCCTCTCTTAAGGGTAACTGGAAGATCTTGCTACAGAGTTATGCATCTGGCAGCTGAATGAGTGTCTGGTCCCAGAGTGACTATCTCGCCAGTTCTGCAAAGCCACTTTACCTTCCCACTGGGTGCTGAGGACTCCAAGGCAGCAGTGACCTACACCACCTCTTAGGAGAACTGAAGGGAAAGGATTTCCTTTGTCCAGAACTCCTTTCCCCAGACAACAAATGTGAGGTCCAATTTAAATATTTTTCTAGGTAAACATGTGAGGTGGAGGGAAAGGGCTTTTGACACTGCGTTGGACACACAACTAGCAAATAAAATCAAAACACTCCAGTGAGTTCACATGAACTGTTATATCCTTTAATAATGCAAAGGTGTAAACTTCATAAAGGCCTTGCTGATTATCTACACAACAATGTTAGCGTTCTTATTAGTAGAAAAACAAGATCCAAACCTGCTGTATAAATATTTCAAAAGTGAGCAGAAAACCCCCATGATGTATGGCATGTGGGCAGCACTAACACAGGGCACAGAAGCAGGGGTGGCTGAGCAAGGTGGGGAAGGCTCACTCCTGCAGGGCTGTCTGAGGCTTTCTCTCTTAAGGACCCCTGATAGGAACTCAGTGTCTGCAGGGGGTGTGGACACGAATGCTGTTTACCAAAGAGTAGATTATTGTAAGCCACAGTCCTATCTGCATGGGTCTGTTGCAATGGCCCCAAAGTTTTTTTCCATCTGAGAGTTGCATGGCCCTAGAAGGTGCCGAGGGCACAGGGCTGAGTTAGGCCTTTCCACATGCAGGGCTATATCTCTAAAGGTCCTTTCAGAAATAGTGCCATTGTTCCCCTCATGTGGGTGGGTTTGGGACCAGGCTGAGGCAGACCCCTAGGGTGAATGCAAGTGACTTCTATCCAGCAATATGGGAAGATCCAGGACGACCATGGAGGGTATGTTTTTAGCCCTCCCTACAGCTCTTCTTAATTGACCTGTGATTCTCACTGCAGGCCCTGGAGGTGCTGTGCTCCTTTCTGTTGCTCTGCTCTGGTTGCCTGTAAGAATCATCCTCTTTCACTGTGCTGGTGGGAAGAGGCCAAAGCTCCAAGGGAGAGGTTCCTGGCTGGGCAAGAGGCACTGCCTGCCTGAGCTGCTGAGCAGTGTAGAGCCTCTGAATGTTGGGGACACCAACAAGTGTCAACATAGGTGGCTTTGCCTGCAGACCACAGCTTGGGGCTATTTTGATTCCGGAGGAGAAAAGCTAGTCTTTGAACATTAAACAAAAAAATAACAACAGAAAAAATAAGTAAAGAACCAAAAAGAATATAAATCAAACTTCTGTGGAGATGTTCAGAGATGAGATAGTAGAATGACAGGTAACATAGGTGGCTTTGCCTGCAGACCACAGCTTGGGGCTATTTTGATTCCGGAGGAGAAAAGCTAGTCTTTGAACATTAAACAAAAAAATAACAACAGAAAAAATAAGTAAAGAACCAAAAAGAATATAAATCAAACTTCTGTGGAGATGTTCAGAGATGAGATAGTAGAATGACAGGTAACCACAATGGGGGAAGGAACTTTTATTCAGTAGAAAGTCCATCCCCAGGCTCATAGGCTGACACTATTGGACAGGATACAGCGCTGAATCTCTGTGCATCTGCTTGACAAACCCACACACCTCCTTTCCTAGGTGAACCCCACAACAGCAGAGAGGAACACCTGGCTTTCCACAAGAGTTTTAAAGCCATCAGTGAGCCAAGAAACCAATAGGGAAGCTGGTACATTCTGGAAGTGCTGTCAGGCTGACTCCATCCTGATTTATTGATACTCTGGGGCTGGAAGGTTTAGAAAGGGCCTGTTCCTCCTCCCTGTGCACTTCTGAGCAGATGCAGGGAGGATGGGGGACTCAGGCCGAGTTCACAGTGGATCCTTTTAACCTGCCTGGTGTACTGTGCTTATGGCGACAATTCAGGTCACGGCTGGACCTCTGAGATCTGGCTGTGACAGGCTGCTGTGCAGCTGTGGAGTCACCTCCAGTGGGAGACAAGCACTTTTCAGAGCGGATACATGTTGAGCACATGATAGCTTGGCCCTGTTCACAGAGACAGTGGACGGTGCTGGTGCTAGTTCCAGCATCCCAGGTCATTTATCAACCCAGAAAAAATTCAACAAGTCAACTTTTCCCGCTGCATGGTCAATAAGGGGGCTTAATTTGCCCTTCATATGAGCAGAGTGCTCAACAAGGGCACTAAAATACTTCAGTGCAAGCAAAGCCAGCTACTTACTGAAGGACAGAGGAGGGCACCGGGTTAGAATGAGGGGGCCGTGTGGTGACCTCAACAATCTGAGGCAGGCTTTCGAAGGTACTTAGAATTCTTCCTCTGTCATATTTTAAGTATGAGCAAAAAATGCAATAAGTAGCAGATATATAGAAACTTCTCTGTAAACCTAGCACAATGCTTTTTTGTAAAAAACTGTATTTAAAGAAAGAGCGCTCAAATTCTTCTTACTGCTATTAAAAAGGGGACTAACTCCTTATGAAGTGACACAAAAGGATCTGTGAATGGCAAAATGTCAGGAGGTAAAGCTTTTTTTTTTTTCCCAATTGCAAAACCTTCCTCTTTTTACACAGAATGCTTGCTCAGTGGCTGAGGCCCGGCCGTGGTGGTCCTGACAGATTCTTCCAAAGTGGGGGGGGGTCACTGATCACAGTGAAGTCCAAGATGACAGGTGTGACGACAGACACAGGAAGGGGAGGGGGGAAAGAGGAAAGAGAAGGTAGAGACAGAAACAGAGAAAAAATAGATAAAAAGAAAAAAATAGGTCAAATATAGAAAACACAAGAATCCAAGGTTAATTCAACTTAGTAAATTAAACTGATAATGGTTAGAGGGGAGTTCATTGCTGTATCAATACCACAGGCCTGGTCAGAAGCTCAGCAATGCTAGAAGCAGCACAGCAGGGTTAGTTCTGGGGTTAGGGGCCAGCGAGCAAATGAAATTAAAGTGAGAGGATAGGACCCCTGGCAATAGAACACCAGGGATCGATTAGGAGAGTGTTACCTTTCACTAAGGTGAGAACTCACAGGTGTAGCCAACAAGAGTGGTCTTGTGGCGGCAAGGGTTCTTGTTGGTAGAAGCACAGAGATGCAGGGGTGGCTGAACTATGATCAGGACACTGTGCATGGGGTGGGCTGCCTTTGGTGAGCTGCCCTACTGCCCAAGGTTCCACCACTATGCTGTAAGTGTCCTGTGCACCTTGCCTTCTACATCCTGCTGACTACAGACTCTAGCCACAAAAGTATGTTTTGTAATGCAAAGAGGTTTCATTCTGAGATCCCAATAAAATGATCAGAAAGGCCATCCAAGCACAGAACCACTTCCTTCTAACGCCTATATGGTAGACTCATGGATCTATGGACAACGTGAGCATTCTCAAACCCTCTTTGGCTTAAGTAGGGGCCTGGACGATTCACAAGAAAGGCTGAAGGACAAAGTCTCCCCTCATATTTTTATCTGACACTAAACCTCAGAAGGTGATGTTGCTGGAAGTACCCAGCGTGGAAACACAGCATGGCCAAGTGACCTGCTTATCAAGTCTCACCCCAGGGAACAACTAACACAGACATTTGTCTTGTTGCAAGGGTCTACTATAGCCACACATCCGCCCACCTCCTAAGTGTCCTAAAAAAAGCTGGGTCTATCTGGACACTCACCTGGTCCTGTCAATTTTAAGAAAAAACTGACCAAAGATCACAAGGAAAGAAGGGGTAGAGGGAAATCAGGGCCACCTCCATTCAGACATCCTATTAATCCACAATGTACCTTGCCTCCAGCACCTGCAGAGACACGCCCATGCACTAGGGAGTCTTAGCCACGATGCAGTTGATGCTTCTGATCTACAGCTTCAAACTCACCTGCCAACTCTATGGTGCTGGTGGGACCACACGTCTCCCCAAGTCATACCCATTCACACACAGTCATGAAGAACTACACACTCATCTCTTGTTTTGTTGCTGCCTTTATCACTTTTGCACACACAGCCCTGCTTTGCAGACAGCCCACACCATTTCTGGCCTGTCTCCCCTGGGAGGAGCAATCAAGGTAACTGAGTCAAGAGCCAGGCAAGCTCTATAGACAGCGTAGGCATGACGGGGACTGCCCAAGGCTGTCTTCCTACCACATGTGAACATGACAGAGTGTATGTGCCCCATTCAACAGGCTGCAGCTGTATGGACCTATGCCCACCTCTCCTGCCTATGATTGGAAAAGCAAAGTGATGGCTAAGAGCTCTGTCTTTTCTGAGGGATTTGGCCAATGAGGAGACAGGCCAACAGGTGCATGGTAGTTGGGCCGGAAAGCAGAACTCTCACTTTATTCCCACATTTGAGCAGGACCTGGATCCCTAGAGACAGATCTGCATCTCCTAGGAGCACTGCTGCCACCATAGACTAGCAGACTTTCATTGACGGTACTTGTCAGCAGTGAACTTCTCTCCCCACTTGTTTCATTTCAAGAGGTTCAATTTGTTCTCTGTTTCAGTGGAGAGGTCCTTGGCAGATAGGGTCTGTCACTAACTGGGTACCATCTCTTCTTTCTTTTGGGGTCACCACAGAGAAGAGATTTGGACCATGGTTGTGCAGATAACGCAAGCATCAGATAGAAAGCACATAAAAAGTGATGTAGTCCTGGTATGGAATGCAGATGGCAGATAAGATCTCATGAAGGATCCTTAGTCAATCTGCGTCCAAGGCAAGGCAGGAGCTGGGGCATTTCCCATCTGAGGAATCCCATGAACTGGTTAGCATTGGTCCTTCAAGGCTGAATGAGACAAGACCCTTTCCCCAGGATGCTTGGCTATGTCCTCCTGGGGGTCCAGTCCATTTCAACGACTGCACAGATAGGTACAAGGCAAAATTAAGCTTTGCATGGGCAACCAGTCATGAGGATGGCTGTAAGCAAGCGAGCTGTCAGGGTTGTTTGGGCGCATTAGGAGGTGCAGCACGTGTGCATTAATTCAAAGCGAGAAATTCACAGAAAGCAAAAGTGGCCATACCTGGAATCGCCGTGGGCTGGGCCGAGGTCCTGAACACAAAACGAGCTGCCTTGGATTTTCCTTGCTGGTTCTCAGCCACCACATAGACCTCATACTCGGCATTCCAGTCCAAGGACTTGAGCATGACGTGGTCACTGCTAGATGGGAGTCTGATCTCTGGTTTCCACTCAGAGGACAGCTTCTGGGAGAAATCAGCAGGAAGGAAACAAGATACCAGAGGGCTTTAATAAAAATTCTGATGAGACTGGCTAATAGGCACAACTCAGGGGAGTCAAAAACTACTGATGTAAGGATCAGGTGTGATGTCTCATCATTACAGAATCCCAGCTGTTCGGGAGATTGTTGTTTGAGGCCAGCTTGTACAAAAATCATTAGTGAGATTCCATCTCAACCAACAAGCTGGGTGTTGTGGCGTGTGCCTCTCATCTCAGCTATTAGAGGTATAAGATCTTGGCTAAGAGATCCTGGCCCAGGCTAGCCAGGGAGAAAATATGAGACCCTATCTAAAAATAACCTACAATAAAAAGGCTTGAAGACATGGTTCAAGTGGTAGAGCACCTGCCTCGCAAGCACCAGGCCCTGAGTTAAAGCCTAATATAAAAAAAAAAAAAACCCCACTAAAAATAAACCCCCCAAAAAACCATTCATGTAAAATCATGAAAATAGGAAGCAATGGAAGCACAGGGTCTTCATTCTTTATGAGAATGCTGCCCCTATTAAGGTGTGGAACTCACCTTTCTGACAGGTGAACATTGCATGGATTCCAGTTTTAGTAAAAGTAGTCACTTACTGGGTACCTACCGTGTGCCAGGCACTATACTACATTTTCTATTTGTATCCCTACAAGAAGCCTGCAGGGAGTTGTCAGACTTTTTAACTAAAACTGATGATGGGGATGTAACTGAGCAGTTAGGTGACTTTCCAAAGTCATCTCACAGTCAAGGTTGGAGTTCAAGGTCAAAGCTGTGTTGTTTGCTTTCTTAATAGGGAACTCAACAAACACGTTGGTTGAACTGTCACCCGTCCCTAACACTGAAGCTGAACAGTGAGGTTCTGCGGTCAGGCCCAACTCTGGGAGGCTCAGAGGGCCCACAAGGAGCAAGCACTGCCAGGGCATGATGCCAGGCAGGAAGCTAGAGTTCTGGGATCCTCCTTTTTCTCATCCTATACTCTGGTTTTAGCCTGCACATTTGCTAGTAAGTCTGTACTGGACAGGAGTTTAAATAGCCATTGCTAGGCTATGTTAATAAAGAAGTGGGAGAAGACTCAAAGACTTCCAGAGGGTTCTTCAGATGGTTTTGCACCTGCACAGCTCACAGCTTTGCAATCTTTACTGCTTTTGTAGTGCATATGCCTGAAGTACATTCTGGGCAGGAAAGAAAGTTCAACAAACATTCACTGACCAGCAGGCTGTTCCCTGGAAGGGCAGAACATAGGAGCAATGTCACCTGGAATGTTATCCAGCAACCACCATAGGCCCTAGGCCGATGTTGGATGAGGCGCTATCTTATAACAAAGGGGTTTGACCAAATAAAATGGTTTACATCAGCCAAAACAATGCCTTTAGAATGTGAGAGTGCTCATGCCAATGTCTCTGATTACCACGGGAAAATGCTAGAAGGAGTTCTAGTTTCCTAGAGTCTAACCACAAAGGCTGGACTGTGCTGCAGATTAGCCTTGAACATATCACTATGGGGTCTTGCTTTAATTTAAAATGAAGAAACCGAGCTGCCTCCCTTTGCTCTTCTTTCTCTGTCTTCCTTGGCAAACATCATTACAAAAGAGACAACTGGTCTACAAAGCAGACACCGCAGAAAGCAAGCATTCTGTCACATAATACACATTAATAATATATGTTGATGTTTAGCAAACCTTAAGTTTTGAAAGAGAGGATGGTCAAGGTTTCTGAGATTTAAAATATCTCAGCATTTTTCTCTATTGTTTTATTAACGCAGACAAACTGACATAGGAGAGATATTTCCGGCTGAAGACTGCATTTTAGCAGTAATTACAGGTACCATTTATAGAGGCTTTCGAGAGTCATGCAAAGTTCAGGTTCTTTGCAGATATTATAACTCATCTTTACAAGAACTTGGTAATTTATTTTATCCCAATTTTACAAATGGAGAAATGGAGGTTTGGAGAGAAGGGGTGACCAATTCAGGTCACACACTGGTAAATAGTAAAGTCAGATGTTATGCCTGGCTGGCTATAAGGCCCACTCTCTTCCTACCAGGTTATGTTAGTGTAATAATGGCCAGAGGCATTCCACCCTGCTACACCATCTGTTTCCAGTCCTGATATCCTCTTCTGAGGTGAGGAAGCCACCTCTTATTCAGTGGGACCTCTGGGCTAGTCCTCCGAGAAGCCATGTGAGACATTTCTTACTATGCCAGCTGACTTAGAAATTAAGAGGACTGAAAGCCTATCCACTGACTGCAAAGTATGCCTGTAGGACTCCACACTGGACCACCTCTTCAGAAGCCCCACCAGTTAAAGACCTCCATGTCACTCCCATGGCTGATCACGAGACAGACAGGGAGTACGCCAACTTCCCGGAAAAAGCCATACTGGGGGCTTCAGGAAGAAAGCAAACTGCACACTGCTTCATCATTTCTTAGCACTAAGAAACCCTAGCAACAGGCGACCCCCAAGGCCCAGACACTGTCTCTAGACCTCTTAGTAACTGCCGGTAGTTGGCGATGGTCAAGTGTCATCCTAACACCAAAAAAAGAGAGTGGGCTGAGAGCTGGAATGAAGGAAATTTAGATGGGTGGTGAGTAAGCTGAGGATTAGTGCCAAGCTCATTGTTAGCAAAGTTAGACCAGCTCATGTGGAGTGGTGAAGGGCAGGTGAAGGGACTGGCAACTTGTTGGGATTATAAGGTAGCCCAGGCAGAGTAAGAACCCAGGCTCTCAGACAGGTCAGGATTCGAACCCGGATTCACCCAGTTGTGTGAGACCACCAGTAACTGAGCTCCAGTTACTTTATCTGTAAAGTAGGGCTATCTGTAAGGCCCACCTCACAGGGGTTCTGTACAGAGAATATGCCTTTAGTCAGAACCTGCCCCATGATACACACTTCACCAAAAGTATAATTGTTAGGTCATGCTATGACCTAATCACCTCCTTTTGCATCCTGGCCATGTATGAGAAAGGTTTGGGTAAACTTGGTTTCTAGCCTGGCCTCCCATAACCAGCACCCTGCTATTAGCTCTCAGGGCCAGCCACATGCATGTGACTGTCACCTGGAGCTGGTTAGAAACACAGGTAACAAGATCTCTTGGTGACCTGTGTGCATGTTTAGTTTGAGAAAGATGGTAACAGGGACACAGAAAAGCTGCAACAAGGACAGATCATCTTGATGGCTGAGTGATATTGAGGTAATGTCATCATTACTAGGTAATAGCAAAATGACTAGTTCAAGTATCAGACAAGTCAATCATGATATGAGTTTGTGACCACTCCAAGCATTTTGGAAGTTTTCAGATGGTACCAGTGTGAACATAGTTTAACAGCTGTAGGTTCATCTTGGGATTCAAAACCCTGATGAAGGCCCATGAGTTGCCAACAAGACTCAGGGTGATGTGGTACCCACATTTACCCACCTGACATCGTATGTTCTTACAAGGGAGGAGTCAGGGAGGCAGGGTCACGGAGGGTCTGGGGAAGGAGGCCACTCACCGCTCGGTACTTGACCAGGTAGTGTCTGATGGGGGAGCCGCCGTCATCTTGCTTGATCAGGTTCACCTTAATGGAGTTCCCATCCTCTCCCATCTGCCCTTCCAGCTTTGGTGCACTGGGTTCCCCTGCAACAGCCAGCGGACTCACATGACATGCGGGAACAGAACGGCAATCTGATCCATCAGAACGGGATGCAGGAGTGGGGTGGGGCTGGGTGCTTCTCTTGCGTTCTCAGGAATTCAAAAGGTTAAGAAGCAATAAATACAAGACTTCCAACTCCACCTAGCTGCCTTACTCCATCTTAGCCTTTTGGAAAAGTTCTGGGACCTACTTTTCCTGTTGGCAAAGCCCTTTATCTGTTTTAGAAAATGCTCGTCTAACTCCTTTACTGGTACTTGTGTTTGCTTTCAGCTGCTCTCATAACTGCAGTGTTGGTTTTTGTAAACCTGACATATCTTGATGGGCAGCCTGAACTATAAGAAAATTTCAATGTTTGAGTAGAAAACTTACATCCATAAATGATTTTTCAGAACAGCTCAATTTTTCCCCTGGGTACATCACTTGCTCCTGAGGCCTGAGGACCCAATTTCTGATGGGGGTGGATGGCGCTGCATTCTTCCAACTAGCTTTTCATGAATTAGATTTTATTGCTTAGAATCACTTAAAAGATAAGTTTCCAGTTGTGGCTAAATAAAACACAAACTGCCATGGGCAAGTTTCCTGTGAGTATACCACATTTATACTCAACTAAGTGAGCCCTAATCCATGGCATTTTGATGTATTAACACAACAATTATCAGAGTCTGTTTCTTTGTGAGAGGAGAGGAAAACAGGCTTTAGTATTTCTCAACAGAAAAAAGTGAAGTTTCTCTTTATTTGCTGTATACGCTTGCTCTGATTGTAGCAGTGTAAATCCAGGTTGGAGAAGGAAGAAGAACTTGTATCAAGCTATCTACCAGAGATGGAATGGCTCCTCAGTCAGATGCTGACTTACTAAGAGAAACTATGTCATTATAAACCGAAAGCAACAGGTGAGAGGATATTTGATATAAAGAGTTAAAATTCAGATTCAGCACACATGGGACTCCACTTCTTAGGAGGAGCTCCCGCTGTCATCTATATCCTGACCTCAGAGAGAAAACTACTCAGGGAGGGTATAAGACATTTTCTTTTTTGGTGGATCACCCTGGCTTGCTCTCTGGAAAACAGAACTGCAGACATGTGACAAAAGAGCCAAGAAGAGATTTGTCACTAGGCTGTGGACCTATCACCTCCTTCTGCACCCTGGCCATGTATGAGAAAGGTTCGGGCAAACCTGTTGTCTAGCCTGGCCTCCCATAATCAGCACCCTACTATTTGCTCCTAGGGCCAGCAGCATGCATGTCGGTGTCACCTGGAGCTGGTTACAAGCACAGGTAACAAGATCTCTTGGTGACCTGTGTTCATGTTTAGTTTGAGAAAGATGGTAACAGGGACACAGAAAAGCTGCAACAGGGAGAACACATGATCTTGATGGTTGAGAGATATTTAGGAAAAGTCATGTTTATTATCTGTTTCCTCCAACCTGTCATTAAAGAAAAATAAAAACAGGAATACCAAGATAAATGACCTCAGGTAAAGACCTGTCTTGTTTTGAAACCACTATCTAGCCACCTACCCCAACTATTCAATGAAAAATATTGAACTTGGTTTAGGTATGTTAGGGTATGTGGACTTTTCAAATTCCTTTGGGCTCTTCTAAGTCTTAGACTATAATTCAGTTATGTCTACATCATTATAAATGTCCAGTGCTAAAAAGCAACTCAAAGTGGAGTCTGTTTCCAAGGACAGGAGCTCTGTGTAGATTCAGCAATGCTGAACAAATGGAAGAAGAAGTCACAGTAGAACTGGTTAAAGTTTATTTTCAGATGGAATTAGGGCCACCAACTCATCCAGTGAACCTAAAGCATTCCAGGTTTTATAACACTGTAAGTTCGATACCCAGGGAAACCCCACAGTCCCAGGCAAACTTGGATGGTTGGTGGCTCTAGAATGGATGGAGATGGATATTAGTTAGTCATTATAACTTTCTGCCCTGAGAATGATGGCACAAACTGTGTGTTGGATGGTCTATTTGCCTTAGGAAGTAGGGAGATTCATCAGGCAGTGCCCGCGGCCCTTCCAACAACCCCACCAGGCAATATCCTTGCCCGAGGTCCCCTTGGGAGAACACAGGTAAATCGGCAGGACCTAATTTGCCACATCCTCCTTACAGTTTCCTCTTGGATGGGAGCAGCATGGATTTCCAAGGCTGAATCAATACCACAAAACACTTCCTCTGAACTTTGCTTCATGGGAGGACTAATGCCTCAGCCATTGCACTGTGTCAGTCTTCACCTTTGCAAAATATGAGCACTGGGTCAAATGCTCTACAGGACCCTTCCAGCTCTGTTATTGAGACACAGTGACATCACTGCACTACAGTGCACTCCCGAGGCACCATGGGAGGCAGAACATACAATAATACATGATCTTCATCAAATTTTAGAAACATGCACCCTATGATCAATACTTCCATATCTCTAAGGCACAAAGTTGCCAACTTTTTTGCTTTACAATTTGGAAAAGTCTTCTCAGAAAATCCTATATTTGAAGAAAGATTCCAAGTCTCTTTAAAGACATGAACAAAAATCTCTCTGAGGAATCCTTGCAGATGCAACAGCCTGAGGAAGGAATCCTCTTATCTTTGGATTTGTTTCAGAAAAAGTGTAATTGGAATCACACAAAATACACCCTAAAATCTGTACCTAACATTCCCCATCCTTTCGATCACTATAATTTGTTAGCATTTTATCTGTGTGACTACCATATTACTCTGATATATATTATTTCCTCATAGAATTTAGAGGATTTTATATCACATGCAATATTCAGGTGTATCATTTAGAGTGCATTTGCTGTGATTTAGTTAACAAATGTGTGTTTATTAGATAGCAGGTAGTCTATTGCAGTCTCAAAGGTGTATAAAACATGCTTTTGCTAGACAATTGAAAAAAGTTATCATTTTTTTTAAAAAAGTGGGGCTCTTAGACAGAAAAATAACCTTTCCTGTGACAGTACTCTACAGAAAGGCCATTTTCAAATAACATCATCGAGATTTTGATCAGCTTTGTGGCTTTGTAATTTGCTATAAATATATTAAGATTTGAAAAGAGCAATTGTTCAGTCAGTGCCTGACTCTTCCTTTAACTGTTTGCTGCTTGCCATTTTCTGAAGGATCATAAATGGGGTTAAGAAATTTTCCTAAACTCCCCTCACAAAGCTGTGCCTGGCAGGCAGTGGGGCTACTGCAGAAGCAATGGCGCCTTGGTATTCAGAAGGCTCGTGGCTTAATTGAACACATTAGTAGAGGAAATGATTTAGAGGGTCCCAAGGTTCTGGGGTGGTTGCTGTGATTGAAATAATTATGGGCAATTTCAGCAAAACCAATATTGTAATTATTTGTAAATGTTGGTTTGCAATTCAGCAGCAATAGGCAGGTTGCTCCAAGAAGACCCCTGGGGGTTAATTATACCCTTTGAGTTTAGCTTCAGCTATGACTCAAAATTTTCTCCCAAAATATTGTACGTGAATATGAAAGCAACAATACCTTAAAGTAAACCTTGCCAATAACAAATATGAAATACTGGGCAGTTGTGATATTTTCTAGTAGAATGTAAATCATGAATGCAAGAAAAAAAAGAATCTATGCTGTCAGATATATCATAGGTGAGTCTCAGGAATTCCTTCTTAGAAACCATGATTGAAACGTGTATTTCAGGCCATGCTGATTGTAGGTTCTTCCTTTGTAATTACTGGGGTTCTGTGCTCTTAAATCTGAGTCTGCTTCAGCTGGAGACCTGGGGCTGGAAAACCACCACAGGATCAATGAGTCCCACAATAAAAATGATAGCCTGTCCAGGGCCATGGAAAGCATTTGTGAACTTTAGAAGGAGAACAATATCCTATACCTCACTCCAAGAATCTCCAGCACCAAAAGCCATTTAATTTTCATCAACTACTGAGGTGCTGAGCAGCCACCCCTGAAGAAGGCTTAATCTCTGTTCATTTACTTTGTCTTCTCTCATGTAGGAATAGGTACAAAGTTCTGGGGTCTGAGTATAAACTAGTGATGGTTGTAGGGCTTGCATTAAAAACTCTTCTTTTCACCACCAAACAGCATTGACAATCATTGTGAATACTGTTACTTTTGTTTATCCTAACTCCTGTCTCCTCAGGTTGGTTATTTCTTACAAGGAATTGGAATCTTATGTATACCTTTTTATTATTTGCTTTAAAAAAGTCCAAAATGTATGATGTAGCTATTCATATATGAAGTCTATTCCGTTCTTCCAACACAGAAAGATTGTGATTCGATCAAGAGGTTATTGATGGGTCCTTAGGGGATCAGCAAAGAGCCTCAGGGAATCAGGATTTAGAATTATTAGACTACTGATTTTCCTTCCTAAAATGGAGTTCTTAGGTCTAGATGTCAAACAAATGACTCTAATGTGACAATACGATGTACACATTCTTGGAGTCTCTTAACTCCCTGACACCTCTTTTGGTAACTTCCTGGGCTTTCCCACACTTCCAAAGAACAGCTTGACATTATTAAGGATGGGTATCAATTTGCCTACAGCATTGTCCCATCCAAATCAGACCTCTGGAGTCAAGTGTTCTTTGTTCTCTTTAGGGTTAAGGATGTGCTTGTGCTAAAGTGACCTGATTCTTTGCCATCCTAGTCCCTGGCTCCAAGAAATGTTGGGATATGGAATAAGTGAGTAGGGAAGTAGGTACCCCCTCAGGTTTTACAGAGAACAGAGGCTTAGCTTTCTGGGGTCCAACTCACTAAGGCATCTGGTCCATCAATCCTTTTCAGTTCTATTTTTTTTGGAATGTGTGTTGAAGATGGGGTGAGCTACGGCTGCACAAAGAATGAATTCAATAGTAAGGAATGAACTCTGACAGACTGAACCACAAAAACACCAATTCCTTTCTCGTGGGTGTCATGAAAATACCAACAGATTAACTGATCAATTATCTTTGTTTCATTATCCTAAAAGGAAAATATGACCATGAAGGTTTGGCCTGTGGGTATGGGGCT